GTGTGTGTGTGTGTGTGTGTGTGTGTGTCCCAACCTCCATTTACACAGAGCCATCCCCTTTTATATTCCTTTTACTTCAGAAACACTCCAGGGTAGCTGAGGCACAAGGAGCTCGTCCTGGGCAAGTTGGCAATTACAATAATTTTTTTTTTTTTTTACAAAAGGACTGGGGGAAAAAAAAGGACTGGGGATGCAGCTCAGAATAAAGGTTCTTGGCTCAATCCCCTGACTGTAAAGAAGAAAAAAAAGTCATAATTCTTCACAGCTGCTTGTGTTGCGTTTACTTAATCCCACTTTCCCATCAAATAAGTTTCCTTGTTTTACAGGTTTTGCAAATAACTCTCACACCCTGACTACTTCATTTATTCTTTTTTTTTTTTTTTTCCGTACCAGGGATCAAACTCAGGACCTTGTGCTTGCCAGGCAGGCGCTTATGCTACTGAGCTATCTTCCAAGCCCTCTCCCTCTTCTTTTCAATTATTTGAAGGACTAATAGCTGTGGAGCCTGAAGGGAAGAGCCGGAGAAGGTGCCCGCCTCTGACAGCTCAGGGATCCTGCTTCATTTTCAGAGTCCTTGTGTGCCTGTGCCTGTGACATGCGGGTCCTGTGGGCTGCATTTCTCAGTGGGTGTGACTGGAGGGTGCTCCTGTCCTCTGCAGTGGCAACCTGTGCCGTGTCTTTGGGGCACATCCTAGCTGCCTGAAGCAGGCACGTGGGAGTTCTGTGTACATTACCTGGATAATAGACTCCTCCGAGAACACCTCCGGGGATGCCACCGGGAACTGCCCCTGGGACCCCTGGAATGATACAGGCAAAATCCATTGTTAGCCAGAGCTATGAAACCTGGTAAATGTAATGATAATCAGTCTGTTTGTCTAGGAAGCAAACAGTCTTTGTGTGGACAAATGATGAGTCCTCGAGGCAACTCTCTCTCTCTCTCTCTCTCTCTCTCTCTCTCTCTCTCTCTCTCTCTCTCTCTCCACTTCTAGTGGGGATCAGACCCCAGACTCAGGGCCTTGGCACTGAACTGTATCCCTAGCCCTTTAAAAATTATTTTTAAATTTTGAGACAGGTTCTCCTTAGGTCACTAAATTTCCAGGCTGGGCTCTAACTTACAATCCTCCCGCCTCAGCCTCCCAGAGTTCTGGCTGTCCAAGTGACTTTTCTTTGCATTTTCTCATTCTGGCTTTTCTAAGTGGCCCTGAGGGGCGGCTGGAAGGGCAGGGATTCCGATCATGGCTTTCACAGAAGTGAAGTCAGGCTCAGAGGGGTTGGGGAGGGCTCTGGGGCCACATAGTTGGAAAGAGCAGAGTGTGACTGTGACTCAGGCCATGCCTCTGGGAACCACAGTGGGCACCAGGCTGCCTGGCCCTACCTGATGGGAGGGGCTAGGGTGGGCAGCAAGTCTCTGCTGTGGGAGGGCAGGCTGGGGTGTGACAGCCACGGTAAAGAAGTGCAGCTGCTGCCAGAGCCATTGCAGCCGTTCTCACACTGATAGGATGGCGTGGGGTCAGCGTCCTCAGCCACTGGGCGGCCACCCTTGGGCGGGGTCCTGGCCATCTGACATGGGACTGTTGTGGGAAGCACTGGCCCCGAGCGGGACACCATGAATGAGCAAAGTGAATAGTTCGCTAAAGAACAGCTAATTAATTTCCTGGCCAAGCTCAGGAGCTCAGACCCTACCAAGCAGCAAGGAGCTCTGTGGAGGATCCACCATGCTGGTCCGGACCAAGGCCCAACTGTTGTCATGGCAACAGACTGAATCCCAAACAGGGTCCTGGCTGCACCTCTGAATGCTGTCAACCTTGAGAATCACCTTGCCAATGGCCCGGCCCTGCCTTGCCCTGTCGCGGGGGGGCCGGAGAGTCCTGTGGTGTGGGGACAGAGTCATACGGCCTCACAGTGACTCAAGACATCTGGCCTCTGAGGCTTGGTGAAGGAGCACAGCTAGGCCTGCTGGTCTCTGGCCTCGTCAGCTTCAACTGCAGCCCAGTAAGGTTGAGGACGCCCGGCTGTGGTGCCCACCCCACACCAAAGCCTGGGCATCACCTCCTCCCAGGTCCTGGGGCCCCAGGAATAGCAACCTGGCCCACGGTATGAGCAATCTGGTCAGGGCCTGGGGATCAGTACGGTGGCCCCAGGGGCTGGGCCTGCTGGGAAGAGGAGTGCTCTGGCCCTGTCATCAGCTGCCAAACCCACACACACTCGCCCGGCCTTTGATGCCTCTGGCTTTGGCTCCAGTGTTGTCTTATGCGTCTCTCTCTGTCTCTTTCCAGCACTTTCTTTCTTTCTTTTCTTTCTTTCTTTCTTTCTTTCTTTCTTTCTTTCTTTCTTTCTTTCTTTCTTCCTTCCTTCCTTCCTTCCTTCCTTCCTTCCTTTCTTTTTTTCTTTTTTTCTTTCTTCTTTCTCTCTTTCTTTCTTTCTTCCGGGTACTGAGGCTTGAACCCAGGACCTTTGCAATGAACTACATTCCCCAGCTCTTTTTATTCCTTTTTTCCTTTGGAAGCCAGGGTCTCAGCAGATTGCTAATTTGCCCAGGCGGGGCTCAGACCTGCAGTCCTCCTGCCTCAGCCTCCACGGCCTCTTTCCTCATTGCCCTTTGTCTCCCTCTCTAACTCTAGAGCGGGGAATAGCATGGTGGGTGGAGGAGCGGAGGCTCAGGACAGATGCCCGGCTTCTACCTCTGGCTTTGCAGCTTCTTACCACCTTGCGACCTCAGCCCTTCACTCAGCCTCTCTGAGCCTCATTTCTGTTTTGCCTCTTGTTGCTAATCCTGGCTGCTTGTACGGTTGCAGGGGTTTGGGCGAGAGGCTGTGCAGAGTTGGCACAGAGTAATTGCTCAAGAAAAGAAAAGTCCTGGCAACCTCCATGTCCATTTTCTCTGCACAGCACACAGCTCAGGGCCGGGTATACAGCAGGTGCCGGGCAGAGACAGAGGACGAGGTGGAGGGGAGACAGGGAGATCGCCCATGTCTGGTCTGACCGGGGCTGAGCTTCCTTGGCAGCTGCCCAGCTGCCTTCCCACCTCGAGCTGTCCAGTGCCCCAACCTGGCTGACTCCCTCTTCCTCTCTGGGTTCCTGCTCCCGCACCCGCCTGTGGCCAGGCCCTTTCCGGAGGACAGAAGGGCTCTGTTTCCTTGTCCCGCTTGCCTCTTCCTCACCGCGCCCACGGCCACACCAGCCACACTGGCCGGGCTCCGAGCCTGAAGCCCCTTGGCCAGGCTTGCACAGTTTCTCCCCACTGTAACTGGGGACATGGAGAGGGTTGGGTGGCCACAGAGGGTCCCTGCTTGACTCTCTTCCAGGTGGGACAGGGGAGGGTGGCATAAAGCAGGAGGCCCCAGAGGGATGAGAAGCCAGAAGCCCCCTCGCTATGCTCGGGGTGCCACCTGCCTGCCCACCTCTGTGCCTTGGCCAGGAAGGGCCCTGTCTGCCACCCTCTGAGCTGGCCGAGCCTCCGTGCTGAGTTCAGCCTCCTTCTTGCTTTCCCCAAGCCCCGAGCTCTTCTTCCTCCGCCCTCCCAGCTCAGCAGCTGGCCTGGAATGCACTTGTCCTGTTTTATGTGGGTTTGGCTTGTTCCACCCACTAGTCCAGGGCGGAACTTGTCTCTTGCATCTAAGAATCATGATCCTAGACTCCCAGGGATCATAATAGTCTCCTCTCCTGGGCTGGATCTCCTTTTACAAAGGCCCTTCATGTTCCTGCTTGCATACTTCCCATGACGGGGAACTCATTACCTCCTGTTGCTTTTCTGCTCTATGGAAGTGGAACCCATTGCTCCATTCCTCAGATTCCACCTTCCGGAGTCCTATACCCTCAGGCTTTCCTCCCATTTACTGCCAGCCTCCCCACTGTTTATCTTCTTTCAAGTCTACCTCAAGTGTCCCTTCCCCCGGGAAGCCTTCCCGGTTTTCCCGAGGTTCCTTGTGGCTGCCCCTTCCTTGGGTTCTGTGTGCTTTCTCCACCACTGCACACTTATTTATGTATCAGCTCTTACCAAGAGGAAGAATTAAACCTTAGAAATTAACCTTGGAAATGAATTACAGCTCGAGTTAGCACATTCCGCGTGAGAGAATATATTTTGCAAATGAAGCTTCCCACGGTTTTCATACGTGATGCATTTTTGGCAGCTGCTTTGGGGTTGCAGACTCCTGCTGGCCCCGGGAGGTGGGCGCACCAGGCAGTGTTGTTTCTTCCCATTCTGCAGCCAGGGGAGCTGGGAGCCATCGGGATGAGCGTCGGGTCTGGCACCTGCTTCTGACCCTGGTCTCGGGCCCAGCCTCTGGCCCCTCGAGCTGAGCAAGGTCTGGGATCTTAGGATCGGGCACTGTCCAGCGGGGCCTGGCAGTGGCTTCGCCAAGCCAAAGTCTGGGCCCAGCCCAGGGAGCAGATAAGACCTCACCAAGCTGTTTGTTGTTTGTGTGGGGCAGGCTGCCAAGAGGTTTTCAAAACCAATCTGTCCTTGGGTAGGTGACTGTCCCCTCCCACATGGGGGCATATTTGCCCTCTGCCAAGGTCCCAGCAGCCACACGGGATGGATCAGCATCTGAACCAGAGCTGCTTGGATTTGGCAGCTCGGCAGACACCTGGGGAGCTTAAAAATCCCTCTCTGCCCAGGAGCCTCCCCAGACCACAGCAGGGGATCCCTGTGTCGTCATTATTCAAGGTTCCCCCAAGAGGCTCTTGGCCAAACCATTCTCAGCTCAGAAATCGGGGAAGAAAGGCTGAGAGTACTTCTGGGGTTGGCTAAGCATGACAACTGGTGCACAACACAAGACCTCTCTCCTCTACCCAGCCTGGATCTGAGCCTGGCAAGCCTGGCCACCTGGGGTAGATCGGAGACTCCTCCGTGCAAGGACCAGGCTGGCTGAGGCCTGCCCCTCCCCATCCATTGCCCCCAGCTACACTCTGGGTGGGCAGCAGGTGTTGGGAGTCATACTGGGCAAGGAGGATCAGGCTGCCCAGCGGTACTGCTTAGCTATCTCTGCTGTCCCCTAACCTGTAGGTGCCCACATTCCTCAGTCTCTTCCTACCCCACGTGTGGACCCAGCGCGGCCCCTCCTACCCCCTCCCAGGACCGGGCTCAAAGGTGAGTCTCACGGAAGCAGCAGGCACTGCAGCCCTGTTCCGCCCCACAGCCCCTCTGCACCCCATGCTAGGGCAGGTCTCTAGGCTCCGAGGGCTCCTGTGGTACCCTGACCCTGCCCGGGCCACCCCCAGATGGCTCTCCAGCCTACACCTCTGACAGAGCCGGTGTACTGTGTGCCCCACCTGTCCCCACGAGCAGCCCTGGATGGCCAGATCACAGCTCACAGCCACAGCCTGAGGTTCCCTCCAGCCCCCACCAGGAGCCCCTGAGACCCTTTTCCTTGACTGTACTCATCAATATCAGACTTGCTTGCACACAAACATGTGTGCACACATGCACACGCATGGTCACACGCACAGTGACAGCCCACCCTGGGGACAGTCCTGGATACCAGGTCTCCCATGCATTCGTGTGTGTTGGTGGCAGACTCTTGCCATCAGGAACAGGCAACCTCATGTGCGTCGTCCGCCCCCCACACCTGTATTGGGGTGAGCCGTGTGCAGACCTTCTTCCCTTTCCAGAAACTCCCCCGGCTCAATGATGCACTTGGGCTTGGCACGCACATCTGTCCGTGCATGACAGCGCATGACAGCTCGTCTGCGCACATGCTCAGGCCTCCCAGACCCCTTGCATGGGACGGGTCACAGCAGCAGCTTCCTGACCCACAATCACTGGCCTCCACAGAGGGAGACCCCGACTTCCCAGAGGACAGGGACCCTGCTGAGGTCACACAGCTAGCTGCGGCCTAGTGGTCTCTCACACAGGTCCCTGTCTGCAGGGTGGCGTGGGCACACAGCTGAGGCCACAGGTGTGCCCAAGTGCTAGGGAAGGGATGACCCAGGAGAGCGGAGTCCCCTCTGCCCTCCAGGACACAGGGTAGGGGCCAACCCAAGGCACACGGTGTCTGTGTGACAGGTTCCTCCAGCACAAGGCTGGCTTTCAGGACAGGTAGCTCCCAGGTCCCCAGGGGCTGAGCCGGAGGCCAGAGCGTAAAGGGCTGCCTCTGGCTGGCTGTCAGGGCAGCAACCTGGCCTGCAGGGCACCAGGGCTGTGGGGGACTGGGAACCGGCGAGGGCCCTTACCTCCGGGCTGCGCGGGGTGGAGGAGGCAGAGCAGAAGCGGGAGCAGCACTCCAGGCCGCGGGGCCGCTGCCGTCAGACCAGCCATCTCGGGGAGGAATGCCCTGGCCGTGCTCTGCGCCTCGTTTTATCCCCAAAGCGTAATTGCTGCCTGGTCGTCGCTGCAAGGAAGGAGGGAGGGAGGGAGGGAGGGCGGGAAGAGGGGGAGCTGGGGGAGGGGGCCGAGGAGGGGGCAATTACGAAAGGGCCAGAGTGAGTCTCCCAGGCTGGGTCGGACTGGACTGTGGGCCTTTTTCCTGCGCGCGCACAGACACACGTGCGCGCACACACACACACACACGCACACACACACATGCACTTTCCCCATCTCCTTCCCGCTTTCCCTCTGTGGCTGTTCTCTCCATGCTGGCTGTGTTCCCGCCAGAAAAGTGCGAGGGGGCCCCTGCCAGGACAGCCCTCAGCAGAGGAAGCAGGAGGGGGGGCCCAGCAGCCCGGCCAAAAATCCTGGCCCCAGCCAAGGCCTGAGTGGCCAGGCCCCCGCCCCTCCGGCTGGGCCCCGGGCCCAGTGTGGGGACACAGGCCAGCTGTCCCGCTCCTCAGCCCCCCACCCCGGCCATCCAGACACCCTACAACCCTGGGCCTGGCTGGAGAGAGGCCCTACCCCCAGTCGGGCATGGGGGTTGGGCAGGTCTGGAAGTGTGTGTGGGGGGAAGTGATGAGGGCCAAGGTCTGCAGAGGTTAAGGGGCTGCAGGAGAAATAGCCCAGGAGGCAAGATCAGGGTGGCATTGCCCAGTGGAACATTTAGGGGACAGACTGGGAACCTGACCCTGTGGAGCTCCCTTCTGTGTGGGACGGGGCTTGGCTTTCTCCCTGAAGCTAATGTAAGTGGGTTGGGGAGGTCTGGGGCCACATCAGATGAGGCTGGAGGATGGCTTGAGAGTGAAGGCCACACCCGCGGTGTCCCCTGGATGTCTGTGGCATGTAGGGATTCATTCTGCACAGACCAAAGTCACAGCTCCACGCCCATCCCAGTCCAGATCAGTGTCTGACCGAGGTCAGGCTGGACTCCAGGTGCCCTGTGGGGCACAAGGAGGTGACAGCCCAACCTCCTTGTTATCAGTCAGCCACCACCTGTCCCGTTGCTGAGTACAGTGAAGGTCAGCATCACACTCAGGAACCCCAGACAGCTGATTCTTTGCTCCTTGGGGAGAGCCCAGGACTGCCATTCCGCTCATAGCCAGCAGGGGACAGCAGTGCTGAGACAGCTGGGACAGCATCCTGCAGTACTCAGCCTTTCTGAGGCTGCTGGGGCAGGACGGTGGACCCTGGGGCTTGGGGTGTGTGCGTGTAGGGTAGGTCAGGGGAGGGTCATGTCCCTCCTAGTCCCTGTGCTTGTGGGAAAGAAATGTGGGGGCCAGAAGATAGGAGAGGAAACTTGTTCCTGGCCCGAGGTCACAGCGGTCAGCAGAAAGTCAAGGCCAAGTGTCCCAGGCAGGCTTAGAGCCTCATCCATCCAGGAGCAGGTGGCCAGGCCCAGAGGGGAGCCGCACATGGGGCAAAGCACCTTCTGGGAGCAGGGTGTGTGGGCTCTCTTCCCGCGAAATGCTGATGAGCACCCTTACTAGGAAGAGGAGTGCAAAGATAAATTAACTGTGGCATCTGTTTCTGCCCCTTGCTGGCCACATCGAAAATGTTCTTTGTTTGCTGTGTGCAGTGACACACGTCTGTCACCAGAGCACTCTGGGGGGCTGAGGCAGGAATGACATGTTCGATTCCAGCCTGGACAGCTTAGAGATTTGGGAGATCCAATTTGAAAATTAAAAAAAAGGGCCGGTGATGTAGCTCAGTGTGAAGGTCCTGGATTCAGCCCTCAGTACTAAAGAAACAGAAAAGGGAACACTCCATACCCCTCTGGTGCTGGAACTGAAGCGACTATCGGCATCAACAGTTCTACAAATGCTTGTTTTCAGGCCCGGCATTCCCTGGCCTCCCAGGGACTCTGGACAATGTCTCCTTCTCCTTGGGTTTTGGGCAATGGCAGCTCCAGATTTTGGGAGCCAGGGACAAGGTAGAGGAATCTGCCTCTGTTGTACAGCTGTTGTGCGGTGTGTTCCTTTGGGGGTCGCAGGGTGGCTGGTGGAGGTTATGAGGGTCCCATGTGCCCAGAGCCAGCCCTGCTGGTGGGGTACATGCTGTCTGGACAGTGCCTTGGGAGGTTGGGGAGACCAGGCTACGCGTGTGCCTGCTCCCTTCCCTGGGGCAGAGGAAGAGGGGATGGTGATGGGGATCCGGGCCCCACTCCTCTTGGGGCAGTGACGTGGGCAGGAACCAGCGTTCCGACTTGCAAACCGCAGTCTGCTTGGAGTCTTTATTAATTCCAGGACGGGGAAGCAGCTGGAGCCAGAGGGAGAGGGCCAGCCGAGGGACCCGGAGAGGCGGGGAGACACACTTGCTGGCAGATGCAAGCAAGGGACCCGCACTCAGGCCTGTGTCCAGTTTCAGTGCCCCCTTCCCCTTAGTGGCCTGGGCCTCTTCCTGGAGCTCCACTAGCACGGATTCAGCAGGGCTTTCGGACATCTCCAAAGGGGCTCAATTGACAGCCAAAGGCACAGAGCTGCTCACCTGGTGAGCCAGCCCAATGCCTGAATCACACAGCATGAGAGCAGGGGGCACAGATGTCAGCCACTGGCTATTCGCATAGCATTCAAGAAGCTTGCAAGAGCTGGGGGTGGTGGTCACGCCTGCCAGCTTTCCAGAGTACTGGTGGGACAGTATCCCATACCCTGCTTCTCAGAAAGGCTAGGAGTCCTGTGGGATGTTGCCATGCCAGCACTCTGGGAGGCTGAGGCAGAAGGATTGCAAGTTTGAGCTCAGTCTGGGCAATTTAGCAACTTAATGAGACTCTGCCTCAAAATTTAAGAAAATGTAAGAAGGGTGGGATGATGTAGCTCAGCATGAAGGCCTTGAGATCAATCCTCAGTATGCAAAAAGAAAGAGCGAAAAAAAGAAAGATAAAAGAAAGAGAAGAAAAGAAGGCCACTGTAGCCATTCAGATGAATTCCAGGCTTTGAGTAGGGCTGCCCATGCCATGCCCAGCCCAGCCCAGCACAGCCCTGTCCACTCTTTGGCTGTCCTTCCTCCTGGTCGGTCTCTGTTTGGACCCCCATGCTGGTTCTGGGCATCTGGGTGCTGGACTTTGTGGCCGAAGCTCTCTGGCCTCAGCATGGAGCACAGCCTGCCCCGCCCCCACCCCATTCCTGGGCCTCTCTGCGGGTTCTCAGGTCTTTGCTGACCACAGGCTGAGCGTGGGTCCTTCCTGTCATCCTGCTGGGGTGAGGGTGAACCTGTGCTGTCTTTTCGACATCCGAGAGTTGGGCCAGCACGGATGAGCCTTCCAGGAGATGGAGACAGAGACTGCGGGTGTAGACAGACCCCGGCCAGCCCCGAGGGGCGTGGCTTCTGTTCTCTTCTTCTCCACACAGACAGGGTCCCATCACCCATGGAAGGCAGGGCACGCTGTGTGGAATTCCCGGCCAGTGAGAGGGACAGACAGGCGGTGGGGCTGGGACCCCAGCGGGCTGCCACCCAGGGCTACAGTCCCACATTCGCGCTAGCAAGGGACCCCCGGGAAGGAGACAGGGCAGGGGATGCTACCCGTGGAGCACCAGTCCTTCCTGTGGACCCAGCAGAGTTCTGGGGCGGAAGTAGCTGGTGGTGGTAGTGCAGCCCTCAGGACGGCCAGGCAGGGTGAGGTCCTCCGTGGCGCCTGCCCTCCTTCATCAGACTCAGTTGCAGGCCAGTGCTTCTTCCTGCCTCTGACTTCAAACTTTCTGGGGGCTAAATGCCAGAAAAGAATTAATAGGATGTTATACTAAAGGCAGTGTATCTAAAATACTATTATTATTTCAGCAGGTAATCAATATAAAAATTGCTGCAATGTTTTACATTGCTTTTTATCTTGAGTCCTAAAACTGATATGTATTTTATGTTTTTGGTGGTGGTGGTGGTGGGTGTATTGGAAATTGAACCCAGGGCCTTTGCCCTGAGCTACCTCCCCAGGGCTTTATTTATTTATTCCCCATGTCTTTTTATGTGTTTATATTTATTTTAAGACTGAATCTCATTAAATTACTAAATTGCCTGAGCTGAGCTCAAAGTTGCAATCCTCCTGCCTCAGCTTCCCAGAGTGCTGGGGGTGACAGGTATGCACCCCCACGCCTGGGCCCCCACAAGCCGGTGAGGTGGACAGCTCCTGCTCCTGTCTGTTAGTCTGGCACATGGTAAATGTGCAAGCATGGGATGGGGCTCAGGACACGATTTGGGCAGTGGAGACGGATGGTGGAGGCTGTGGAGGGCACTGGAGGGGGGTTCCCCCAGACACTGGCCCCCACGCAGCCGGTGGGGGGCTGGCTCTGAGGTTCCTCACTTCCCCCACCCTGGGCGTTTGTGCGGCTGAGTCATTTGTCAGTCTGGGTCCTTGGCTGTGCGGCTGGTGGGGGTGCGGTGTCGGACGGGCTGTTCTCACATCGCCTCGAAGGCTGTCTGCTGCCCTGTGCCGGAGAACATCGCGAGCCAGTCACTCGTGCCCTCTCCCCAGGGGCCTGGGATGGGCACCTCTCTTGTCTGCTTGACACTTGACAGTTTACAAGGCGCATCTCCACTTTTGATGAGGGATATTATTATCCCCATTTATAAACAGAAGGGTCAGGCCTGCCAGCCAGGAAGCGCGCTCTCTGGTGGAGCGACTTCATTTTAATCTTGGACCTCAGTTTCTGGGTGCCCAGGCGTCCCCACCCCAGACCCCTACCCCGAGCGTCTGCTTTCTCAAGCACCGGCTGTGCTGAGGCGGGGGAGCCCTGCTGGGATCCCGAGGGCCACGCTCTGCCCGCAGGACACGTCCCCTCTGGGATGCACGCAGTCTGTTCTCAGTCAGGGGACGGGAGGGCGGACACGCAGTGTGCAGACTCAGTAATGTACCCTGCTGTGGGACAGATCCAAGGTCGCCCGATGGCCCTGCGGTGGCAGCCCAGGCCCCTGGGCTCTGTCACCTGGCCCGCCCAGCGCCTGCGCGCGGGACCTCTCGCTTCCAAGGCACGCAGCAGGGCCTGCGCTGAGCCGCAGGAGCCGGCAGGCAGGGCCGAGGCCGCGCACCCTCCTCCACCTCTGCGGCGTTATC